CAGGACATTAACACTGCACTGAGAGAGAGGGGTTAATACAGTCCAGACACACTGACTCACTGACTGAGAGCTGGGCAGTAGCTGGCACAGGGTACAATACAAACTCACTGACTCACTATTAGACCAGCGGTTTCCCCTCGATCTCTCTGTGTATAGTTGTGAAATATCTATTGTCAGAGCCCTGCTCCTAATGTTGACAGTGCCCCAGTCCAGGCGGTTTTCCGTGTGCCTTCCTGTAGCAGTGTTAATAATATTTATTTCTGTACAGTGTTATTTATTTTACTGCAGTATTTATATTGTCGGAACGCTTTAAAAGAAAAAAATAAACTTTTCTGTTGGAACTGCGTGCTTTCCCAGGACTGGTTTTCTTTGCGAGACAGAGATGGAAAAAGGAGAGCGCTGCTTGTGAATACCCCCTGCTGCCCCGGGGCTATGATCAAGGCGTGAAGGCGAACTGCTCTTGAATTTAGGGGATCAGTTAGAGAATCAGCCCGCTCCCTCCGAGCGACACACCTGCGCCGCTAAATCCCCGGCCGACACCTGGACCGTCGAGGTAGGGACCGTGTCGCAATGCCATCGCCCCTCCTGGAGCGCAAGGGACCGTCTGGCAACTCCGTTGTTGCGACAAAAACGGTGTACTTGTCTGAGCACAGCGTGGGCGTGAAATTCTCTTCGTGGAGGGCCCGGTGTCTCTTGGACTTTCCTCGGGCCCGAGCTGCCAATTAAACAATCAACCTCATTATTTTCTGAGTCAGACATATACAGGATGTTGCTTAAGGCCTTTTAACAGTTGATGACTCAATGCACTCACGTCCTTAAAGGTACAGCAACTTACAAAGCACCTCAAAGCCGGATCCTAAGATGTATATGGTCGCTGTGAGTTCGTTAATGAACTAATTAGACCCTTTAATGAACTGAGAGATCGAGACGGAACACAATCCGGCAGACACCGGGCCAACCGGGAGCTCAGTCTGACTCCCCCCCGAGACCTGACCCGCGAGTGTACCGACGGGCAGCCCGCTGTTTTCAACACTGAGCAATACATTGATACGAGGATACGCACAGTGATAACAAAACTGCAGTTTAATTACATCCCCAATTTCAGAGAGCTGGATAAGCTACACCGTGTTTCAAACTATCAACTGACGGGACATTCACGAAAAAGACATTATCGTGACGCGTCCTCCGGCTGTGGTAGGGGATAACGCACTGTATTATTATTATTATTATTATTATTATTATTATTATTATTGAGAGACAGACTCGCTGTGCTTTCCTCCGGCTGTGTCTTCAGATCACAGACCGGGCTGGCGTGTCCTCCCACAGTGGGGGGAGACAGGAGACGCGATCGCGCGACGTGAGCTTGACCGCCACGGCGCACACAGAAGAGACGCCGGGCGAATTCCTCTGCGGTTTGGACGCTGTGGAGGGCCGCTGAGCCACGGTCACGCCGCACTTGCGTCACCCTGGCCGCGGCGGGGGAGACTGAGTAACCGGACTGGCCCCCGGCCACGGCTGCCGCCCACTGCCGCGCGGACACGCAGCCTGTCCACGGGCCTCACGCGCGCAGGCTGCACGCGCTGTGGCACCACACTGCCCACGGGGGGCGCTCTAGTCGTCCGCCGCGCTGTTTACACATATGTGATGATCTGTTTTCCGCGGGTCTCCCGCACG